AGTAGTAGTCTCTTCGTACATGGCGATAGGGTGATACGCCCACAACGCTGCCACATCTAGCACGAGGCATGCCGCTTGCAGCTCATGCAGAACACCGACGTCCACTTGGTGCACTGCCCAGCGCGCCAAGGCCCAGCCGACGTCATCGCCGAGTTCCGCTTCATAGGCAAAGATCGTTCTTCGGCGGGTCCGACGCCTATGGCGCCAGCCTGCGCGGCAGACCCTGTTCCGACGGGCCCGGCGCCTACGGCGCCGGCCCGTTCGGCGCCAGACGACGTCGCGCCCGGGAGACTCCACCACAGCAGGACCTCATATACAATCTCTTCGGCCTGCACCAGCACCCGGGACACGATGGCAGGACCATGCGCGGTCACCAGGCAGCGTTTCCAGTTCCACGTCCGCCGCCGCTGCGGCGGCACCCCGCGACGCCCATGCGGACCTGCTCGTGCCGCCGCACCGACCTGCGTTCACGCGGCAGCCCGCCTCGCCTGATACAGGCACCAGCGCATCGAACGACTCACCGCGCAACCTGGCGAGCACCGACCTTCAGTGAGGCGCCATCCTCGACGCCAGCGCCTGGACCAACCTCTGGGGACTACGCTTCGCCGCGAGCCTGGCCAGCATGGCCCAGGAGGCGATGGTCGGCCCCCACGGAGGAGAAGGCGTCGACTCCACCCCATGCGGCAGGAGTCGGCAGCGGGTCACAGGTGGCGCATCGGGAGGCACACGGCCCCATCGCAGCGACCTCCCGCCGCGGCCGGGGCCCGCGCGGCGCAGCGCGCGGGCCCCGGCCGCGGAGGACGCAGGCCTCGATCCCCTGGGCTCCTCTCGGTCTGCCACCCGCGCAGTCCGGCAACGGGGCGGCGGAGACAGGCGCTGCGCGCGAGCGCCGGACGTTCCCCGGGCCCGGCGGCCACGAACTCAAGTGGAGCCCAGGCACCAGCCACTTCGACATGGAATCGGTCCCGAGTGGCCCTCTGCGCATCAGTCGACAAGCTTGACTGGCTCCAGCCGCCCTCCGGGGGGTTGCCGCCCAAGCAGCTCGCGCTGCTGGCAGCGGGCGCCAACCACCAGGACGACGACGCCAGCGACGGCCGCGAGTTCAAGAAGCACAGGATCCAGCTTCTGAGCCCCAACGCACATGCACCATCGCGGGGCGCGCCACAGGCCGCAGGCCACGAACTGCACGCCAGCGCGGACATCAGCATCGCGACCAAGGGTCGGGAACTGGTGACTACGGGCGCGGCCGCTCTCGCACTACAGGACACATACTACGGGTCGCCCCGCGCCCCGGACTCGCCCTCAGAGGCCTCGGCGTCGCTGGCGGCGCGGCGGGCCCCGACTACCGCGGAGAGGCCAAGATATTCATGGCCAACTTTCTTCCGCGACCCCACGCGGTCGAGCAAGGCCAGCGAATCGCCCGGCCCATCCTGGAGGAACGCATCATCGACGATGCGGAGACCGCGGTCGTTCCCAACCTTCTTCCGACCTCTCTTACATCTCAAGGCCTTGGAGATACCGGCACGGCGCATCTCGGCCGCGACCCGATCCAGGGAAAGGGAGACAGCTCAGCATCCCCGGGGTCTCTCGGCGTCGTTGATGCCGAAGGCTCCAGAGAGCTGCCGCATGAGGAGGATTACGGGTCCGCCCACAAGACTGGCCCCGCCCACTTGCCCCGGCAAAAGCGGGCAGCAGGACCCGGCCGCCCCGCCCGGGCCCAGGAGCGAGGGCGGGGCACATCACAATTTTGTTGGTTTGCGGGTCGAGAGCGAGCTTCTTCCGGTTAAAAGCTAGGCGGGCCACGCAAATGTCTAATTGGGGAGACAGAGCACAGGCGGGCGGGGCCTCAGGCGGCCGGAGGGCGGGCCGGGGTGCAGGCGGTGCCGAGGAGCTTGCACGGGAAAAGGAACGCCTTGGACAGGAGCCGGAGGCGAAGTCCCGGAGGGTGAGCGGTGTGGTGTTGCCGTCGACGGCGCAGCGTAAACACACGCGGGGCACATCACAAGCACTGCAGGATCACGGCTGCGACGTCATACGCGCCACCGCCCACGAGGACGCCATCAGGTCATGTTCAGGAGGGAAAGAAACACACAGACACAATTAATCGTCCATTTTCCCAGAAAATATGGGAAACTATGGGAAGCGGGGGGGAAGACAAAAACCCTGAAAATATTAACAGAATAGGAGGGATATCTTTCTTTGTGCGTCCTGGGGCCCCTTCACACTTGTCCGACGGCGCGCTTCCCAGCACAAGCTGCCGCATGCCGCGGGCCACGCGCGACAGGAACGGGGGCGGGCTCACCGAATCCTCGACTCCCTCCCCGACTGGCGCGCCGCGGCGCGGGACGCCGGCACCGGGATCGCGGCCCCTGGCCCGCACGGGCCTCCGTGGAGACGTCCAGCCGCGAAGCAGACGACCGGCACCAACGCGCTGCACTCCAGCAGTAAGTCGGGCCTGTCCCTCTGCAGGAGGACTATTCAAAAATAGTTCAAAAATAGTGCGTGGACTATCTTTTGATGTTTTGAGCATTTGGGAATATGTTTTGGATATCCTTTCATTTTTCGTCGAAAATCCCTTTGTGGGGGGACACGCCCAACTTAACTCTATCAATCACCAGGCTTGCCACAAGCCTCTGGCCCCAGAGGCCGAGCGCACAGCGACGCAGCCTTCACGATGCCCACCGGCTCGCCGATGCTCAACCAACTTCTCGCCGGCGCAGCATCGAGCTGGAAGAGCACACCGACGATTGGACGTCCACGAACAGACACGTATACTTGGGCCTGATAAACAGACACGTATATTTGGGCCTGATGCGCCGCGACGCCCTACGTCTTGCGCCCTACTGCACTTGTACTTCAACGAGCACTCTCGCACCGCGGGAGGCACGCTTTTTCGACGAGGCACGTGCAGGCTTGCTTGAGCACCAGACTAGAACGGCACCCTTTTTGCGAGCTGTCCTTCTAGATTCTCTCCCTTTTCCATTGCCGTTTGGGCCATGGGTTTCGGGAGCCTGCGGCGATCCCGTGCCCGTGTATGCGTCTTCACTGTTTGACATTTCACACCAGCATACTGAATGCATCGATTTCTTATCCTGACCATTTACTTCGAGCATCCTCATCATCAGCTGCAGCAGCCTCCTGCGCTCGCCGTCTCCATTTTCCTCCTATTCGCAGTCATAGCCGGAATCATCATCATCATCACTTTGATGCTCATCCTTCTGCCCCCCCCCCCATTCCCCTTCACCATCCGCCTCGACAGGGGGTGATCAGCGACATCGCACTCTGGGCGGAGCTCTACGAGACCGAG